CACGAATAAGCTACGTGGAGCAGAGCAGACCAGGGTGAGCCTCTTAGCTCCCGCTCAAAAAGTTCAAAATTTGAAAGTCAATCGTCATCTACATGGATAAGAAGCAAATATACCAAGGCGTTTGTGAGAAAAATCGAGAATTTCCATCTTTCCCGGAGATCACCCTCAAACTACCCCGTCCCACCCCGCCCACTGTAAGCGCTGCAAGCGAGAGCGGAGCGGATATAGGAGGGACAGTTTTCGAACACGAGGTCCTGCGGGCGCGGCGGCCGCTCCGCTCACAACGGGGCGCGGCACAGCACAGCCCCGTCGAGGGGCGGAGGCGGGCGGGCGCGCGCGCTCCTTTGAATTTTAAATCCGCCAGGCTGTGTTGCTCATTGCAGACGCCGCAAAATAAAGTACCCTTCGGACGCGCGGGTCCGGTGCGATGGGCCCCGATAAGCTCGATTGCACACGTGCTCGCAGCGCGGCTGATAAGATATACACGGCCCCGGTGGTGTCGCCAACCACCTTCACCGCGGCCTGCCGCGGCCACCGCACAGGCTCGCGGCAGGCTGCTGGGGGCTGACCAGAGTCAATCCCAGGCAGGCCAGGCCAGGCCAGGCCCGACCAGCAAGCGATGCGGCAGGCCACAGACCAATCAAGAAAAGATAGACTTGAGTGGAACCGACAAAAAATAAACATAATGTCCTTCTCTCCCACTTTCCAATGATGATAACGTCGCTTGGACCGCGGTAAGGTTAACCGTTGTTTAAAAAAATTCCGACAACGCGGCGAGCCAAGCCAAGATCCACAACCCGTATAGTAGTATATAGGTGTTTGACCTGGCCGGCCGGCCGGCCGACGCCCCCCCCCCCTTCCTTCCCCTCTGCCCCCTAATCTGACCTCCCCATTTGGATTTCACTTTGCCGATGTCTATAACCTCGCCTGCCTAACCCTTCGCGCACGTACATCAATCCACGCCCCTTCCGCCGCACGACGTCCCGGCGCCCCGCCCTGCCCCGCCCCGCTCTGTCCGCCCCCATCATGTCCCCCGCCCCTCCCTTCCTGTACCCCACAACACCGGTCGGTAAAAACGAGACTTGTCAATCATCATCATCGTCATCATCTTGCGGGGTGGAAAGAGGAAAGGGGAGGGACAGGGGGGAGGAAAACGGCAGCGAGTCTTCCACAAAATGAATTGCACTGCGTCGGGTCAATGCCAAGTTGGTCGGCTCTCGGCTCTGCGCCGCGCCGGCGTGCGGACCGGACGGTGGCACTTGCGTCCATTTCCGAGTAGCGCCGCGCGCTCTCTGCTCGCTCTTAACGGGCCGAGGACGCGGCGCGGCGGCGTGGACGGAATCGAATGGGACAGACACGGCATCCTGGACGGCGGCCATCCCAATAATAAACTCACATGTGCGGCGGGGCGTCGAAGAAGTGCGTCTTCTGGTACTCCTGGATCACCTGCGCCGAGTAGATGGGCAGGTTCTTGAAGGGGTTCACCGAGACCAGCACCTGCCCGATGTACGTCTGCAAACACACGGGCAAGGTCAGCGCGACGAACGCGACGAACACGCACGCATCAGTACGGCACGCGGCACTCACGTAGACGAGGTTCTCCTTGAACCTCTTCCTGAGGTTCTCGACGAACGCCCGCTCGTCCGTGTGGTCCTCCAGCATGACGGCATCCTGGACCCCCACCCGGTCCCGCTCGTGCAGGCTGCGCTCCATGTCGTCGTGGTCGTCGTCGGCGCGTCCGCGCTGTCGCCTGCAACACACAACGGACACAACGCTGTCAGGTCGCCGTCCGCGCGCAGGGGGCAATTAAGGGGGAAAAATAGACGTCGCGAACGGGATTCTGCGCGTCACCGGGACGATGTGGTGCGGAATCAGAAACCAGTCTGAAGGCAAAATAACGCGTGTGTGAAAACGGTCCTTGTTTGTGAGTTTGTTTCCATTTCACCCCCTCCCCTAGGCCTCCCCCAGGCCGGGCTGGGCGACATATTGTATTGTGCACCCGGAGGCAGGAGAGTACATCGCTAATCAGACGCACAGTCTAAAGCGGTAGCCTTCCACCCGACTTCCACCTCCAACTGCCTCCAACCAACCAGGAAGAGAGCCACCGAGGAGGCGGTGACAGGCGGCGGTGACTCTACTCCGCCTTTGAGAAAGTGCAAGGTAAATGAGCGAGCAGGCCTTTTGTGCCTACATTCCTCCTCGGCTTTCGTCTTTATCTTATCCCCGCCCCCGCGTGAGGCATGTAAGTCGCACCACGGAATCTATCAGCACTCGTAAATCCCCTTCGTGAAAACTGTCCACTTATGTCGCAGCACGGTCATGTCCTTCTCGGCCTGGTCCTGGTGGTTACGCGGAACTCTCTCACGCGCGCATGTGTTGATCCGCGTCATCGACCACCCACACATCACACATCACACACAGTCGAGAGCTATGGCATGTCCTGGCCTGGCGGGCCCCGACTATGTTGCTTGGCTGTGCGCCGCACCCCGCGCCCGAGGAGCGGGTACTTCACTTCAAACCAAATC